CCCCCCCATGGATAATAGCAGACCTGCCGGCTGCATAAAAGTGATCTCGGCGACATCGCCAAGATCACTTGTACAAAACAAGCAGAGGCTTCCCCACTGTACATTTAGCTCTGCTTGCCCAAAGCAGGGCTAAATGTAGAAAACAACTACCCGCACGGCACCCGGAAGTCCCCAGCATTGGGGGATAGGAATTCCAAACCGCTGCTGCCCCTCTACTCCCTGCTACCCCGAGGCTCGGCCTTGGTTGGCCTTGTGGGAAATCCGGCCCTGCCAGCACCCACCCCAATACCACCCCCCACCCGGGAACCACATCTAATTGCCTCAGGCAGCAAATACCCAGGGGACAGCCCTGTCCATGGTGTTGATAAATGTCATGTGGACGTCAAGACACTCCACACACCCGGCATATATACCTAATCTATATATGAACCTATGTGTCTTCAATGGATAATCTACAGACAGTAATTGTTATTCATTGACCAATCAGTCATTGCAATTCCATAACCTATAAATCCATGACCTGATTGTTCTCGAGGAATAAGTGTCACCCAGCTATGCACAGTATCTTATAATTCATGTCTGGTTATTTCCTGGCAGGTGAAAAGCATTCAGGATGCCATCAGAGACAAGAAAAAGAGGTTTAACTTTCTTGGCGAGGAGATTAATCTGATTCCATCAGTTGGGATTTTCATCACCATGAACCCGGGGTACGCCGGCCGCACGGAGCTTCCAGAAAATCTCAAGGCGCTGTTTAGGTAAGTTCAGGAAGTGAAATCTCCAAAAGCAGTTTGTAATAATCTGGTGACCTTGTGTGGTCTGATAAATGGCACATCACACAGAGATCACTGAACTTCAGCTGAGTTTGTGTTGTCCGGCCCAGTCCTGTACATGGCTTCGTATGGACATACTCTGACGTGTGAGGCTGCGGCATAGACAGACTCCTGTATGGGTCTGGAATCCCCCTCTAACCAGTAAAAAACAGTGTGGAGTTTGCTTCAACAAGTCATTTTTTTTCTCGATCGTCCATTGACGGACACAGCTCCTAAAGAAATTCTCAGACATAGGGTTATGCTGCTGCCTTCAGGGGAAATGGACATTGGGTAAAAAAAAACGAGAAGCCTGTCACTTTATATAACTTCCTTAGCCCAATATCACCGCTCCTTCACAGCAGCACTAGAGAGTATGGCGGGTGCACCAACCTCTTGCTCCAGCATCAGCAGTTACTCACCACAATGTCCGGGCACACACCGCAAGCTTCAATATTTTATAGCACAGAGGTACACATTGTCCCACCATTAATCCTCTTCACTCTGACATGTTTCACCCAATAATGGGCTTAATCATAGAATCATACTGTCGCAGGCTGACAACACTATGCCACTGCCTTGCAGTTAGTAGCAGCATTGTAAGCTGCCGTGTGTGCTCCTTCAGTTGGTTGTTTGCTGCCTATCAGGCCTGTAGTTGGCCATTGGGCTGCAGACCTAATAGGGAGCCCAACTGAAGAAGAATACCTGGCAGGCTGACAATGCTGCTCCTAATTGCAAGGCAATGGCTTAGCGTTGTCAGCCTGCAACAGGAAGTGCAGTTACTGGTAGGATCTCCAGGTCAGAAACTGCAATTGCAATGCTAAGGAGTACCTCTGCTGCGTTACTGACATGTCTCTCTCCTGCAGGCCGTGCGCTATGGTGGTCCCTGACTTCGAGCTGATCTGTGAGATTATGTTGGTGGCCGAGGGCTTTATTGAAGCCAGGCTGTTGGCCAGGAAGTTCATCACCCTCTACCAGTTGTGTAAGGAGCTTCTATCCAAACAGGTATGTGTGTCCTGTGCAGGCGTGACATCCAGCGGGGAGTTCACATTTCTATGACACCTTTACATCTATAAATATCATCAGAAGTCACTTCAGATGAAAGAAATCGTATTGTAGGATACACGTTAGCACGTCTGATTTATTTCTTACACAATTGATGTGCTGCTGGTAATGATCACATTTTATTTCCAGTTTACAGTCATTCCTTATATTGTTCTTGTATCTCCCGATCTCCCATCTCTCCCATCGGCAGCTCTCTATTGTCCTATTCTCGGCTCCTGTCATGCCGATTCACTAAACTGCAGAAACCAAAGTGAGAACAGACTGAATGTAACATTAAATAAGAATAATAGAGCGATGACATTTCTCTTTCTTTCTCTGACTTTTTCTCCTTTTTCTTTCTTTCTTTCCCTTCTTCCTTTTCTTTCTTTCTCTCTTTTTCCTTTTCTCTCTGTTTTACTATATTATTCTCTTGTTCTCTCTTTCTTTCTACCACTCTTTTGGATATTCTTTATCTATCCTTTTCTTAATCTCCCTGTTTCTCATCACTCTTGTTCTTTCTCTCTCTTTTCTTTCTCTTTCTCTCTCCCATTCTTTCTTTCGCTCTTTCCTTCACTCTTTCTCTCTCTCTGTCTTTTGCTCTCTCCTTCGCTCTTTCTTTCGCTCTGTCTCTCTCCCCCTCCCTCTCTTTCTCTCTCCCCCTCCCTCTCTTTCTCTCTCCTTCTCTCTCTCTCCCTCCCTCTCTTTCTCTCCCTCTCTTTCTCTTTCTCTCTCCCTCTCTCTCTCTCCCCCCCACCCTCTTTCTTTTTTCTTTCTCTTTTTTTCTACCCCCTCTCTTTATTATATATTCTCTAACTATCCATTTTTAATCATTCCCTCTATTTTTCTCTTGTTCTCTTTCTCGCTTTCTCTCTTTTTCTTTCTACCCCCTCTTTTTGTTATTCTTTCTCTATCAATCCCTCTCTTTATCCCCTCCTCTATTTCTCTCTGTCTCTCTCTTTATCTCTTCTCTCCCTCCATTGTCCATCCCCCAATTTATGTAATCCTGATGTGTTCTGTTAATGTATCCTCCGTCCTTCGTGTACCACTAATCCTGGCAGACCACTCATGAAAGGAGTCATTACGACTCTCCATGCTTGGCCAGACAGACATTGCTGTACTTTAATGCTGAATCCGTTGCTGCGCTCATCCTTCTTCTGCAGCATAAAGGTTACAGTATCAAACCCGATTTACTGAGCCGGCATGTGACATTGTAATTTAGCAGCGGAGCAGAACAATCTATCCTTCCTCTGTGGCTCAGTGAAGCGGCCAGTCCCGCTCTCGCCTACAATACTGCATGTGACAAAGGGCCCCATTGATTTAAAGTCGGCAGCCTGCGAGATACAAGTACAGTCAGGGAAAAGGTTGTTTGAAGTTTAAACGGTTTGAGTTGGGCTGGAAGTTAAACTAGAGCTGAGTATGAAATAATGATTGCAGCCGCTGGAGATTTATATTGTACGGCTGAGTGACGCTGTCCTGCGGAGTTTTATAGAGACTCATGGTCACTTGGCGGATTTAACCCATTCTCTGCCAATGTCACACCTCATCATTCATTCATTGGCTCAAATGCCGAATCTCAGGCTGCTGATGTGATTTTAACTATGTATACCATGCGAATTTCCGCAGGAGTGTATAGAGTATATAGTCACATGAGCCTCTGCACCAGAGGAGCTTACGTTCTAACAGTCGCACACTACAATTATACAGTTATATAGCTCTGACATAGACCACAGTGCAGTACAGAGAAAATTAAGCCAGTCACATCATTCTCTGTACCAGAGGAGCTTACACTCTTAATTTCCCACCACAGTCACACATTTTTTTATTATACATTTCTATAGCTCTGGCATATACCACAGTGCTGTACAGAGAAAACTAAGCCAGTCACATAAAGTCTCTGCACCAGAGGAGCTTACACTCTAATGTCCCACCACAGTCACGCACTATTATTATATATTTAAATAGCTCTGACATATACCGCAGTGCAGTACAGACAACACTGAGCCAGTCACATCAGTCTCTGCACCAGAGGAGCTTACACTCTATTGTCCCCCCACAGTCACACACTATTATTACCATTCTACATTTGTAGAGCTCTCCTGTATAGCGCAGTGATGTAGAAAAACACTGAACCAGTCACATCAGTCTCTGCACTAGGGGAGATTACACTCTAATGTCCCACCACAGTCGCACACTATTATTATATATTTAAATAGCTCTGACATATACCACAGTGCTGAACCAGTCAGGCGCCAGAGGAGCTTACACTCTAATGTCTTACCCAAATCACACACATATATTATTATACATTTATATAGCTCTGACATGCTGTGCTGTACAGAGAACAATGAGCCATACATATAAGCCTGCACCAGAGGAGCTAACACTCTAATGTCCTAACACAGTCAGGCATTATTGTACATTTAAATAGGTCCAACATAATCTTAAGTGCTGTATGGAGAACGCTGAGCCAGTCACATCGGTCTCTGCAGCAGGGGAGCTTACAATCTAATGTCCTCGCCCACCTGATAAGGTATGCACAAATGTCCCTGAGATGCTATTGGGTGGTTTAGCTCTCGAGCTTGAATCACATACAGACATCAGTTCTGTGTAGAGTGATCCTTTAATACTTAGAATCAAGCTTTATCTTTTTAGAAAAAACGTAGTAGTCCAATCTGGCCCTGACAAAACCACATAATATTGGGCCATATTCTACAGAAGTGGGTTGGTTTTACAAAATGGCTGTCTCCGTGATCTCACTGGTTTCCAGTGTGCCGATAGGCCATTTCTCCGTAGATATAAAGTCAGATGAAGGTAGGGGTCGGTGCTTTGTGTAGCTGACAGGTACTCTTCTCTGTAATACCGGTATGTGTGTTTAGTTCTAGTACAGATTATCTGTTTAGGGGCCCCAGTGTCTGGTGTTGTTGTGCTCCATCTACCACTTTCCATGTGAGATTTGGGAACTTCACGAGGGTTGTCAAGGTGAATCAGAACACCGTCTGTGAGACTTTATCTGTATTTTTATCATATTCTATAACCTATAATAAAGCTAAACTCCAGTTAGCCCCATTTGTCCATGTGGCTGCCGTGCTCATAACAAAATTCTAATTCTAAAAAGGAGTTGTGTGTGGCATGTCACTGCCAAGGAAAAAAGTTTCCCTGAGCATCAAGGGGCTTTCCCTCCTGTTTCTTCTATCAGTCACAAGGAGCTGACACTAACAAAAATTAATGTAACTGGAATTGGGTTTTCAGAACAGAATCAGATACTGGAGAAAACTTATTCTGACTCCCTTGCTGGCCGGTCATATGATAAATGCCACAACACTGGTTAGCTAATCCATGCTGATGGGCTGGAACAGTGTTTAGGCAGAGTCGCCTATCCCACATAACCCTTTGGCAATCTGGGTTCCTTTTCTGCCACTTGTAGTTCATATGATACAAATGAAGCAGCTGTACTTGCCTTCCCTCTTACCTTCTGTTCTGTGGCACAGGACCATTACGACTGGGGCTTGAGAGCCATTAAATCTGTCTTGGTGGTAGCTGGTTCTCTGAAGAGAGGAGACCCGGATCGCCCAGAAGACCAGGTCCTTATGAGGGCCCTGCGAGATTTCAACATTCCCAAGATAGTGACGGATGACATGCCCGTGTTCATGGGTCTCATCGGAGACTTGTTCCCGGCCCTGGATGTTCCCCGGAAGAGGGATATGGACTTTGAGAAGTTTGTGAAGCAGGCTGTATTGGACCTGAAACTTCAAGCTGAAGATAACTTTGTTCTGAAGGTAAAATAAGTGTTGTGTTGTGAGTATGGGAAAAAAAAATATGTATGGGAGAAAGTTTGTGGAAACCTGACTGTCACACCTATAGGTGCTTGTTGGTGATCCCATTCCAAAACTTTGGCCATTAATATGGACCCCTCCCCCGTTGGAAGTGAAGATTCCACTAGATTTTGGAGGGTAACCGTGGCAATTTTTGCCCATTTGTGAGGACAGTCTTTGATGTTGGATGAGAAGACCCCTGGCTTCCAATCAGCATTCCAATTCATTCCAGAGGAGTTCAGTAGGGTTGAGGTCAGGGCTCTGTGCAGACCACTCATGTTCCTGGACACCAAACCGGTCCATCCATGTCTTTATGGTGCTGGCTTTGTGCTCAAGGGCACAGTCATGCTGGAACACAAGGCTGGGTGAGCACAGGGGTGGGCAAACTCCGGCCCTCCGAGTCAATGCAAGACTCTTGGCAGCCACAGGCATGACTCCCAGAGGCTTATGTATGATGGGATTTTGTAGTTTCACCACAGCTGGAGGGCCAGAGTTCAACATGCAAGACTAAATGTCTTTGTATGTTGTAGTATTGACAGTACTCTTCATTGGAAGCAAAACACCTGAACTCAATCATTAGGAGGGGTGTCCACATTTGGCTCTTAAGTTTAGGGATGATGGTAGAGTATTCACAAATGTTTGGGCATAAAGTGTATATAAGCTGGGGAATTAATAATTTAGGTTACAATAGATGTAATTTATTGATTGGGTCATTCTTGTAGTAGTTTTTCAAGACACAAGTCAAACATAAAATAAATGGTTGCCTTTTGAAGGCGTGAGATTCACATTTTGTGCTGTGGTGGAGCTGACACTAAAACTAGGAATGTTTTGTGTTTTTGGAGAGCCATCTGAAAAGCAGTGCAGTAGCATTATATGACGAGCATACAGACTGCCCCCAAAGCATTGCCCCTAGAAGTACATTTTAGCCACCCAGAAAGGATACTGTTGTTATACCAGAAGGGGTCTTGCTGGACTGGCATCTAGTAAATTCTGTCTGTTCCTTGTAGGTGGTCCAGTTGGAAGAGCTGTTGGCTGTCCGGCATTCTGTGTTCATCGTTGGTAATGCTGGCACTGGGAAGTCTCAAGTGCTGAAGTCTCTGAACAAGACCTACCAGATCATGAAGAGACGTCCCGTATGGACTGACCTGAACCCTAAAGCGGTCACCAACGATGAGTTGTTTGGCATCATTAATCCATCTACCCGGGAGTGGAAGGATGGTATGTCAGGTTCTTGGAATTGCTGGTTATGTGTTTAGATGAAGCACTGAGATCCCGAGGAATGCTGAATTAAGTTATACTTGCTTAGAAGAACATTACACGTGTGCATACAGCATTGTGCAGGAAACATAGATAGGAAAAAAAAACAACTTCCTGTGTATCATAGATAAGCGTACACACAGAGATTAACATTGCACTACAGCGCCATCTACAGCTCAAAAGACATATCAGTATACCAGTACATTAGAATATGCTCTTGCATTTCCAACAGGAATGACCTTACATTGTTAAAACTTGAAGGCATCTTTCTGACCTTGCCTCAAAGACTGTACACACCCTGCTATGGCAAACTATTCAGGCCGTACAGATCCGTGCAGCGTGCATGGCCGCATCGTGCCGTTCCCGGGAGGGGCAGGTGCTGCGTGTGATTGCACGCAGCAGCCTGTTCTTCCCTATGGGAGGACGCGGCCGTACGCTGTCGTACGCACAACTGAACTGCACATCCGTGCGGGTCCGGGTGTCCGTGCTCGAAGGCATCCTGTCTGCGTCTGAGTACGTACACCCGGACCCGCTCTGGTGTGCGTACGGTCGCATCCTCTATTAGGAAAGAACAGGCTGCTGCGTACAATCTCACGCAGCACCTGTCCCTCTCGAGATTGGCCCGATGCATGCCGCACGGATCCCTACAACCCGACTTTACGTTGTGTGAATGAGGCCTTAATAACAGTATTAGTATAAAATTAGTGAATTTCATTTGCTCTCTTTTACCCAATAAAATGCAATATACGGTATTCGATATCTGGAAGTTTGGGGAGTTGATCCTCCGGGATTGTAAAGGTGCTGAAGTCCGTAATTAATATTCTGTGTGTGTTTCAGGGCTGTTTTCCTCAATCATGCGTGAACTGGCAAACGTAACACATGATGGGCCCAAGTGGATAGTTCTTGATGGAGATATTGATCCGATGTGGATTGAGTCCTTGAATACCGTCATGGATGATAATAAGGTACGTGAGGAGGCCGATGGCGCAGAGTTCATCCAGAAATCATCCTCCTGCATTATGCCTGAACCCAGGTCAATGGTGAGGTCTACCAGCAGCCATCTGCTTCCATATGATCACATGACTGAAGGTACATGGGAAAGGAAAGGGTCACTTTAAAGCTAAGCTCCAGGCAAATACGGCACAAATGAGTAGAGCTTTCTATTCATTACTACTTAAAGATTGATGATGAAGAGAAAAATCAGGTCTCAGGTCTGTACTGTGTGGCAGAACTGTGTAAATCTCAGAATTGGATGGATAGTAATGCAAATCCTTTGGCAGGTAAAACAGCCCTCAAATATATTTCATTTGTGTATTTAGCAGTTTGCATGGAATTCAGAGCTAATTAAAGTCACAATAACTCAGAATTAGCAATAAGGCACAAATATTGATATGCTGCAATGTACATTCTTCAATCTATCTTCACTCTATAGTCTTTAATTGGAATGAGCAAACCCAGCTCTACCATACGTTAACCCTCCCATTACACTGAAGGAGTAGGGTTGCTACCTAAACCAGCTGCTGACGATGTGGTTCAATGTTCTGCTGCTTACAATACCACATACATTGTATTCTTTACTCAGTCTAGTTTGTATACATTGTTTCCAATCGTCAAGTCCTGATGAAGAGGGTGATCCCGGCCCTCAAAACGCATTGTTTCAAAGTTATTATAGCTTCTCTTTATTCAATAAATTAAGTGAAATTTGATTTTGAAAGTGAACGTGCTCTACCCCTTTAGCATATCAATTAGGGATGCACCGATACTAGTATCGGGATTGGTGCCGATACCGAGTATTTGGGCGAGTACTCGTACTCACCCAAATGCTCCAATACCTTCCCCGATATCGGAACTTCTGGTCAGAGGAAGATTTCCTCTAACCGGCAGTGCCATAGGGCAACATGGAGCCAGCTTCCCCGGCAATCAAGAAGCTGGGTGGCGAGTAATGACCCGCCTCCTGGCTTCCTGATTGGCCGTGAAGCTGTTTCTTTGATGATTGGCTGGGAAGCAGGCTTTCCGACCAATCAGCATTGAGCCGGCCGAACAGCCAGCTCCTTGCTGATTGGCTGGGAAGGTGACTTTCCAGCCAACCAGCATGGAGCCGGCTTCCCGGCCAATCAGGAAGCTGGGAGGTGGGTCATTACTCGCCGCCCGGTTTCCTGATTGGACGGGAAGCTGGCTCCATGCTGTTTGGCTGGGAAGCGGGTTTCTTGGGCCATTCACAATTGTGGCGGCCAAACAACATGGAGCCAGCTTCCCGGGCAATCAGGTAGCCGGGCGGCATGTCATTACCCGCCACCCGGCTTCCTGATTGCCCAGGGAACCGGCTCCATACCAGCGGATACACCAGTATTGGTACTCGGTATTGGCGAGTACCGAAAGCATAATATCGGTACTCGCACTTGATACCGAAAAACCGGTATCAGTGTATCCCTCATATCATCCCCATCATCTCTAATCCAATGCACCTCTGTGGCTGAAGATAAGAAGATAAGAACGTATGTTACCGGAACACCATGGAGCCACAGTCAAGTAGTCCAAACATTTATTAAAGCAATCAAAGCTTCGAGGCCACACAGGCAATCACATACCCTGTTGAAGAGGTCCTGTGTGGCCCGGACACGTTGCATTCATTGTGATGTGATCGCTTTAATAAATATTTGGACTATAGATTATGGATCTATGGTGTGCTGGTGACATGCTCTTATCCATGCTGGTTCCAGTCCACCTGCTGGTAGTTGCTACAGTACCCCCTTACTCCAGGCCGTGGCCAGGTTTGAGTACGGTGGGAACATATTGAGATTTCTGTGGCTGGAGAGGTCCACAGGGGCCAGCTCAGGAAAACGCCTCTTGTATTAAAGGGAATCCTTTCACTTATGTTGAGGTCTTACACATGTTTTCTCATTGATCTTCTCTGCAGGTTTTAACCCTGGCTAGCAATGAGCGTATCCCTCTGAATCCCACCATGAGGCTGGTGTTTGAGATCAGCCACCTGAGGACAGCAACCCCTGCCACCGTGTCCAGAGCCGGTACGGAATCTCTCCTAGATCACATTGATTGTTAGGGTGTTATTGTCCCGGTCCATCGGGGGAAAATTCTGAAATACAACTTGTCAGCACCAAAAATGTTTTGCCTGCTCAGCATAAATCACAGTACGGTGTCTCTAGCTTTTATTTTCTGCTTAGAGGATCTGCCTGTGTTAAAATATTGCTATATGCCGGATATAAAATGTTCTATTCTATATGATAAACACGGCTCTTCCTAGAGCTGCCATTTTCTACGGTTCTGATGGTCTGGACTATGGTGTCCATTGTAGGATAATCTTCTGACATACCAATGTTTTGCCTTTCTTCTAGTTGTCATCACCCTTCTTGGAAGAGGCACCATCTCTCTGCCCAAAGTCAGTTAGTTTAGAAAGAGTGGAGGGACAGAGCTGTAGTCAAAAGCTGAAGTTTAATGTGCTTATATTTTGCCTTCCCTGGTTCCCCCTTCATCAACATGCTAATTTCAGTTTTTACATTAAAAAAACATTTCAATTTTCATGATCTAATTCTAGACCCAGTGACGTTATCACTGAGTCTCTGTGCTTTTCTGTGCAATGCAGGCAGATCAAGGATAGTGGGAGGGGCCGTCAGGGTGCTGTACATAGTTTCCTGAAAACTTCACAGCCCCCTGCCTCAGTACACTTCTCAAGAGCCCTCGGTCTTGATGCATGCAGTGGAACTATGCAAATATCAACATGCCTTGATAAGTGGATGTCTGTTTGAAGAAGTGGGCATTTCTGAGCAGACTGTATTTGTAGGCAGACCGCCCTAGGTAGCACCCATAGGTGATGCTGAGTCTCCATGATTGAAAGAACTGAGATCCAGTGTATCAAAGGGGTGGGGCCAGGGACAGTAACGCCAGAGAGGAAAGAGCTAGAAGATGTTTGATATCCTTCAGCCAGGAAATGAGGCGGGCTCTATCTGACTTGCTGCAGCTTCTAATGCACATTGATTCCAGCCAATCAGCATGGAGCCAGCTTCCCGGCCAATCAGTAAGCCAGGAACCGGGTCATTACTTGCCGCCCGGCTTCCTGATTGGCCGGTAAAGCTGGCTTGATGCTGATTGTCTGGGAATCCAGGCAGCAGGTCATCACCCGCCGCCTGGCTTCCGTATTGCCCGGGGATTTAGCTCCATGCTAGTGGATGCACCTGTATCGGTACTCTGTATCGGCGAGTACCGAAAGCAACATATCGGTTATCGTACTAGATACCAAAAAAACGGTGTTGGTGCATCCCATATATATATATATATATAATGCCACTTGGTCATCTGTACATCCAGAATGCCCGGTGTTACATCCACCTACATCCTAATATTATAGAGCCTCTAGTCCAGATGCTGCAGGCTTAGACTTGAGGACAGGCAGATATTGAATGAGAAACATACTTGGCCATGTCTGAGGTGTGGAATCTTCTGCAGATATTTGTGGAAATGACCAATTAACAATGTTACAATTGTTTTCCTCTCCAGGTATTTTATACATCAACCCGGCAGACCTGGGCTGGAACCCGCCAGTCACCAGCTGGATTGACAAGCGGGAAGTTCAGTCCGAGAGAGCCAACCTGACCATCCTCTTCGACAAGTACCTGCCTCTGTGCCTGGACACGCTCAGGACCAGGTATGGGGACTGAGGAAGTGAGGCCTTCTCTAAAGAGATGTATTTGTTTCTTCCTCACACACCATGAATGGGATGGGATTCCATTGTGTGCTCTCATTCATAAGAGAGCTGTGGAGGGAAGTTATTTATGGTTATGGTTCACGCAGTCTCTCTGACATCCGCACAGTCCCCACGTCCTCCATCAATTTCTGATGATCGTTGTTTACACAAACAGCCTCATTAAAGAAATATTTGGACATTTGCTCCTTCACCGGGGTCCATCTTGAATTCATGAGCTGGGGGTATGAACAGCCATTGAGGCGGACTGTTGCCCGGCAGCACAGAAGATGTATTGTAGAGGACCCGGACTAATTAGCGTCTACGTCCCCTTTCAGGGCGCGCTTTGTCTGGTTGAAAGGTTCATCGGGATGTTTACATAATAGATTCCCCATGAAATAATCATCAGACATCGGCGTCTTTTCATATTTCATGTCTTTGGAGGCTTTTTTTTTTCTTATAATCCGTAAAGCAGTGCCACGTACACAAGGCACCTGCTATCCGCCGCACAAAGCTCGCCGTGCGTCACGCAGCATATGGGAGAAGCAGGACCGCGTCCTCGATTCTGGCGGCACAAAGAACCAAATCCCTCTGTTGTTGCCTGAATTGATATTTTAATATTATTATGTCTAGCCGGCTTCCTTTGTCATAGCGGGAGGTGGGGGCTCCCCAGATATACCCCAGAAGCTAAAAAAGCCATGTTTGTATTTTATTTATGTACGTGCCTTGTTCGAGAATGACTCTACACATTTCTTTATCAAGAATTTTCTCTTCCTCTGGTGTTACGTTGCATCTCTGAGTGCACTGCCTCTCACCTGAGACTGCTGTAAGCTGCACTGCCCCTAACTGCATAGGACTGCTTAGTATTATTCTCGTGAGACAGTATAACCATACCAGTTATGGTGAGAAGGGACTAAAGGAACCAGAAAGCCCTCCAAACGAATTAGTGTACAGCACTTTAGAGCCTTCTTATACCAGGAGGTATTCACATGTCTCATTCCATCACATATCCCAAAACCAAGGGAATTATTCCTCATCTCAGGTCAGTGGGCGGAACCATACAAATAATTCCTTTACACTCCATCAGTCAGGTGCACATCCTGAACCATTAGTGTATAGTGCAAATATAGTCCAAGAGACACTTATTCATAACTGCATACAGCTGTTTCAGGCTTTTTTACCATCATCCCTATAACATGGCTTCTATGGGGTAGGGCTTAGGGCCCAACAAGACAATATAACCACGCAGGTTACGGTGAGAACGGACTAAACGAATTAAAAAGCCCTCCAACATAACAGTGCTTAGAAACCATGACTTCTATAGAATAGAGCTTGGGACCCAATGGGACATTAAACCATACAGGTTATAGTGAGATGGAAGTAAACAACTCGAAAAGCCCTCCAACCATATCAGTGTTTGGCAACTATGACTTCTCTAGAGTAGGGCTTGGTATGCAACAAGACAGGATAACCTTATAGGTTATAGTTAGAAGGGACTAAAGGAATCAAAAAGCCTTCCAACCGAATGACAGTAAAGTTATATTTACACTATACACCTGAAGGTCTCTGTCTTTGAAGTAAGTAATTAAAAGTCTTTCCGTAACGTCTTCGCTTATTATTTCTGGTGCTTCATCTATGCAGGTTCAAGAAGATCATCCCCATCCCAGAGCAGAGCATTGTGCAGATGTTGTGTTATCTTCTGGAATGTCTCCTGACCAAGGATAACACCCCACCCGACTGTCCCAAAGAACTGTATGAGCTCTACTTTGTGTTTGCTGCTGTCTGGGCATTTGGTGGAGCCATGTTCCAGGATCAGGTGAGGCCTACTCCTCTCAAAACTCATTCATGATTTTATTAGCAGCTTAATACAAATTCATATTCTTTTCAGAGTGTCAGGTCTTGTTGGGCACTGCTAGAATTTATCCTTGCGTTTGGGAAAGGAAACATCACACACCCTATGTATTTTGCTCATATTGTTTAGCCCATCACTTGGTGTCATATAAGGAATGAAAGTGGATACAATCCCTAACTGGATGACATTTAAAATTGCTCTGTGCAATGTACATCATAAATAATTGCCACTTTTCTTTCTAATAACATATTTATTTTCATTTTTCATCTTTTGTTGCACCTCAGTGCTGTTGATTCTCACAGGTTCTTTGCAGCCACTTCCTTTCCAGCAGTGGTTGCATGGCATTCCTCAGGGCAACTTTCCCAATGGTGACAACAGTGGACCATGCCTGCATAATGTGTGGTGAATTAGCCACTTGTAGCTACCATTGAAAGCCCTGTAACAGGGTGACAATGCAGGAGTACAATTAGGAGACAGGAAGAGAGCGTTGTCACCATATAACAGGATGTGCTTGAGCAAGGATTGTCATTGGAAAGGATCACCAGGGATTGTTTTAATGGAAGCTGCAGATCTGAGAATATTTAATATGACTTTTGAAGCACAATTCATATATTTGTGATTCCCACACTACCCTATCCATGCTTCAGTGGTAATTTTTTTCCTCCTCCAAAGCCCTCCTACACCAAGATTCCCCTTTGACACGTCTCCCTATTCTGTGCTACCCTACTTCCTTTACCCACCCTTCGCTACTCAAATATAATGAACAGTGGCTACGAGAACTGAGCTCTTTTCTCTCCCCAGAAGAGATATAAAGCCTTTGGCTTAACCTACCATTTATCTGGCAAAGCTCAGGAAACTGTCCACAAGATTCTAAAACGCTTGAGTACACTTTTTTTCCAAATCCGCCCTACACTCCTGTGGCACCTCCAACCAATGCTGGAGGTGCCATAATCATCCAGGCACAATGTCCCACATTTGGTGGTTTTGCATCCTCATACACAGTATTGTGGGCAAGGTCCTCATCATTCGCACCATAAGATTTAATGAGATTGGGTTTACAGTTGCCCAAAAGTATTGTCACGTACCTTGGTGTGAGCCTGAAGTGACGAGGAAGGCCTTCCCTTGCCACTCTCGTCTGAGCCCAACTGGAGATGAGACAGCAGCTGAACAGACAGAGAAGGGCATGAGTGCCTGTGGATGATATGAGTGCTTGACACACCGGAGATGATGGCGCTGATGGCTGGATGCCGGAGGTGGCTGGTGGCTGATAGCAAATCAGGCAGGACTGGTGTGAGAAGCTAAAGCCAGATAAGGAACGAGCCGGATTGGTAACGTGCGGTCGGCGTGGTACATAAGCAGGAGCAATGTCAGGAGCAGGGCGGGTCATACGCTTGCGAGCAGAATGCTACCAAATCAGAAGACGCAGGGGAGGTCAGAAGACAAGCCGAGGTCACAAGGCAGGAATGCAGACTACAGCTGAAGATCTCTCAGCAAGTTGCAGAAGCCATCTTTAAATAGCCTGCCTGGTGCCAAGAACAGGCATGCGCACCCTATTGTGCGTGCATGGTACACCGGTTTCGCACATGCGCATTGGCTCATGCAGCAATCCGGGCAGAGGCTGTACTATGGGTGCTGACTGATGCACCCTGACAAGTATAGAGAAATGGCCACCACAAGCATATGAAAACGCATACCATAATACGCCTCGTAATTGCGGAGGGTAAAAATATAAATAAATTTTGTAACTTAAATGTCTTCCTTATATTGTAAAGCGCTGCGCAAACTGTTGGCGCTATATAAATACTATGTAATAACAATAATAACTGGCCCAGGGGTATGTTTATCCCGATATGAATCAGCTGCAGTTGTTTTTATAGAACGCTTTTCGCGGAGCCGGGGTGCGCTGTATCGGAACGAGCCTTGTTGTCTGAGGCTAATTCTATTGTCTCTCAGGCGAGGCTTATATTTCAGACTTGTTCAGATAGAATCGTAAGGCGCTGTTATTAAGACCGCGCCGAGCAAGCCGTAAGATCGCCGCCCGCTTACAATACTGGGGGAATTATGGGGATTACTGTAACTGGCGTATAGTATTTTCATTTAGAGAATCGTTTTTTCAATGCTCAACACAACATTAATCCGGAGGACGGTCGCTAGAAGCCGAGGCAATATAGATAATGGGATTACTGAGTGAAAAGTTTTCTGCCAGCAGAAGCGGCGCAGTCTGATGTGAAAACAAGCCGAAATTTCCAGCCAAGATGACATTAATTTGAGTTAAATTGCTCTCATCTTTCCAGCTTTTTGCTCTTTTAAAGGAGCAGATGAGTTCGGAGTCGTTCAATTTTTTCCCAAATACACAAAAAATGACATTGAGACTTTCCATTTGTAAGAAGGTCATGAAAGTATTTAAAGGAGAACTCCAGGATCACAAGATTTCTAGAGGGGTGGGGAATGGCGGGGAGAGCTGCATGTAAGGATGTGCTTTAGGCTCCCACAGTTCCAGCATGCTTCCACCTACTGCAGCCAGTTACTGCAATTAAGCTGGCCATACACTGCCCAAATTTCACCCGAGTCCTTTTGACTTTGACGAATTTCAAACAGTGCGTGCCCCATCGCCACCCCTGTGTTTGAAGGAGGCGGTCCAGAAATTCTTGGCCCAACAGTGACTGCAGCCAAATTTCTACCATGAAAGGTTCCTAGTCATCTCGGATCAAGCTGAACTGATTATATTGTGGGGTGAGATGTTAACGAAGAACTACGGGAATGAAGCCATCATTGGAGTGCATGTAGAGAGGAAGTGGCTGCAAAGAGCAGGACATTGACATGCAACAGAGGAGGAAAAAAGGTGAATTCAAGGATTTTATTTGCCAAAATGGCAATTGTTTATGGTACACAGGGCTCAGAGCAAACTAAATGCCATCAGTTAGGGGTTACATTTACTTTAGTGTGTGTGTGTGTGTGGGGGGGGGTTCACTGTCAAACACTTGTGTAGAACACCTGGCTTTGGTTTAGCCTGAAATGGTTTGCAGAATGTAAAGGGGCCCCATGTCTGTGGGAGCTCTCTGTGCTATTCTAGGGGTTCTCAGACGTCAGTATATTGCTCTCCGTACGGCCGCAGCATCCTGCAGGGAGATAGTCTGCGATTCCGAGAGGCAGAGAGAGCAGGCAGCCAGATAAAAGGGCTCAGAGCCATTTCATTTTCCAACGCAGTTTTTAACCTTTTTTTTTTTTTTTTCCCTGACAACAAAAGCCTTGACATTTGCAAGCTTCTTATTATCGATTTAATGGTATGGCGAGAGATTAAACCTTGAAGCGCAGAATTTAAATGAGCGACCTTAGGCCGATCCTCAGGGAAGAGCCGGAGCTGGGAAGAAATGTTGTTTCCGACGAGTGCTTTTTTCCAGAATTATCTGGGGGGCGGAGGAAACGGCTTTGATTTTTCTGTGCAGGGTACAGCTCACAGGAGACTTGCCGGTGTGGACGTTCAGAAGTTGCAGTTTGCAGCCTTTATTGAAGGTTTCAGAGCTGCTTGGGGGCTAAAGGGGCATTTAGCCCAGGACCCCAGGAGGGGGTGCCCATTGGGAATCTGGAATTATGAGGCAGAGCTGATCTCTCGTCTTGCTGCTCCAGTCAGAAAACAAAAACCATGTTCACTTCTTTTAGATGGGATCTGTGTTGTGGGATCTTGGATAAGGAATTAATTGCATCCTACTCTTAACATGCTAAAGGTTTCAATGTTTTTTCCTTTACAAAGTATTTACGTTAGAAATGAAAGCAGACCAGTGAACCGAATGTGCCCAAGCCCACGCAAAACTGTCAGTGGCACTCTCCCCTTCCAGCAAAATCATCTGCGGGCCAGGGCATTCCCCGCCCTGCAGCTACATATAGCAAAGGGGTGGGGAATGCCCCAGCCGCAGCTGATTGGGCTGGGATGAGCGGTGTCACTGACAGTTGTGGGCCTGGCTTGGCTGAACTCAGTTTGCACCAATCCCACTCACCTGTGAAATACAAATTATTATTTAAAACCAAATTGCAATGTATTCAAAATATAGAGGGAACACACACACACACATGGCAGGGGTGGGCAACTCCAACCCTGCAGCTGTGCTTTAAATACAAATCCCAACATGCCTCTGAGAGTTATACCTCTTGCAATGCCTCATGGGATTTGTAGTTCCACAACAGCTGGGGGGCCCAGAGTTGCCCACCCCTGTCCTATGGTAATCTGCAGCTCCTGTCTATTCTGCATGTGTAGCATTGAGGTACCCATGACTCTGTTGGGCTCTGTGAAGAGCATTTCGGTCTGTCCAGGGTGCAGCTTTGGGGCTTTTCCTAAGAAAGAGAAATAAACCCATCTGCTGGAGGTTAGAAAGACTTGGCTGCAGAGCGCAGAAGGAGCGATGTTGTTAAAGATGGACTTTTCTCACCATGTCTTTCAGCTGGTCGACTACAGAGTAGAATTCAGTAAATGGTGGGTGACGGAGTTCAAGACCATCAAGTTCCCATCCCAGGGCACTGTCTTCGACTATTACATCGACACCGAGACCAAGAAGTTCGAGCCGTGGTCCAAACTCATCCCGAAGTTTGACTTTGATCCGGAAATGCCTCTCCAGGTCTGTGTTTTATCTTCACTACAGTTTCACCCTGAATCGGTCCCTATGGGGTGATGTGTTGTCTCGGGGGGGGGGGCTGGCCTTCACAGACAGGTGTTCAAAAACCTGCTTGTGGGTTAATTTGCTCTACTGTATATATAGTGGGGGCATTAGAGTGTAAGCTCCTCTCAGTGGCGGACCTAAGGAACAAAGGGCCCTGGTGCAAGATTTATTTTTTGGGCCCCCCCAAAAAAAAACACAAACACAGCGCTCTCCTTCTGCAGCACTCGGCCAGCTGTCACTTTCTCTCCTCCCCGCTGGGACACAGACCAGCGCCCAGCGGGGAGAAAAGAAAGCATGGATGCACCGCTGTATCAGCAGAAAAATGGCACAAATGCCAAAAGTGCCATTTTCAGCCAATATGTTTTGGCGGCCAATATATGGTGCAGCCCTAATATTTACAGCAATGCAGAATGGCACAGGCTATAGAGGACTACACATCCCAGCAATACTTTATATAACAATAGCATTTCTGTATAAAGTACTGCTGAGTTGTGGCCGGCAACTTGCTGGGCCCCCCCAGAGCCTGAGGCCCCGGTGCGCCCGCACCGCCTGCACCGGCGGTAGTTCCGCCACTGGCTCCTCTGGTGTAGAGACTGATGTGATTGTCTCAGTGTTCTCTGTACAGCACTACGGAACATGTCAGAGCTATCTTAATGTACACTATATTGCCAAAAGTATTGGGACGCCTTTACACACACATGAACTTTAGTGGCATCCCAGTCTTAGTCCGTAGGGTTCAGTATTATGTTGGCTTCGTTGACTGTGGGGGGAGGGGACATTAGAGTGTAAGCTCCTCTGTACAGAGACTGATGTGACTGTGGGGGGGGGGGGACATTAGAGTGTAAGCTCCTCTGTACAGAGACTGATGTGACTGTGGGTGGGACATTAGAGTGTAAGCTCCTCTGTACAGAGACCGATGTGACTGGCTCAGTGTTCTCTGTACAGCACTACAGAACACGTTAGAGCTATATAAATGTATAATAATGATAATGATAGTGTGATGTGTGGCTGTTACTTTCGGATGTAAGCTCTATTGTTTCAGAGACTGGTGTGACTGGCTCAGTGTTCTTAGTACAGCACTGCGGTATATGTCTGCATCATATGAATCGGTAAAATAAAGTATTTCAGTTCTGGGTGGCTGTAAACTTTGCCATAGTAAGTTCTGCTAACTTGCAATGTTTTTACAAAGCAGCCCCCCCTCCCCCCTTCCCGA